TTCTGGCTTTATCTGTTGTTTTGAACATTGCACACTGAAGCTCAGCGCTAACTTCTATACGTTCTGCCTTGGCTCCAAAAACCATTACCTCAGTTTTATCTTTGTTTAATTGGAGAAAGTTCTGACACATCCAGTCATTGATTTGTTCAATGCACTTACTCAGTGTTTGAATTGGATAGTCTCCTGGTGAAATTGTTACGTAAATGTGCGTGTCATCCGCATAGCTATGGTAACTTATTTAGTTGTTTTTCATTATCTGAGCCAGTGGTAGCATGTAGATGTTAAAGAGAAGAGGCCCCAAGATGGAGCCTTGAGGTACCCCACATGTCATATTTGTCAACTCAGATGTGTATTTACCTATAGAAACAAAGTTGTTTCTGTCCTTTAAGTAGGATTCAAACCAATTTAGAACTGTTTCCGAAAGTCCCACCCAGTTTTCTAGTCGGTCTAGTAATATTTTGTGGTCAACAGTGTCAAACGCAGACAGATGTAGACAGGGCAAGCAATACACTTCTTAATCTAAAGAGGCAAGACAGCCGTATGATCACTGTCTCTGATTTGAACCTGAAGACTTTCTATCTCCCCGCCATGGCAGAGGACACTGGGCCAGTCTTTCTGTATCTCCTCTCAGCTGTGGGCCCACACTTCTTCACGTCTACGTCACGTGACTATGTTTTGGAGAGAAAAATCTGACACAGGGAGAGATATGTAAACAAGGCGTACTTACATGTGTCCTAACATCAAGAGATTATGATCAGAACATGTATAGACTCTAATGTTTGAATATACTTTTATGTTTATAGTGTTTAGAGTATGAGAGGTCCTGATAATTTATTCCGGTAAATTACTCTGACCTCCTAATCAGTGGCGGCGGGTCATTAGGGGCAGGTGGGGCACAGCCCCACCTAGTGTCAGAAGAAAGTATTACAAATAATGATTACAAAAAAATACTAAAAAATAAATTAAAAAACATATAAAATATATTTTAAGGTCATGTTTAATAATCTGATTCGTCTGTACATTTCTGTTTTAGTCTGTGTTCTTCTAATTAGTGTCTAGAGTTCCGTTTTGAGCTGTTTAGAGCCATGTGGGACAAAACCCGATCCTGCCCCTCCCTCTCACAGTCTAAGTGAACGGTGATTGTAAAAACTACACTGCGCATGCTCAGAGTATTTTTCTATTTAATGTGTGTGGCAAAAAAATAATGACCGTAGGGGCATAGTGCTCCCATCCCCACCATACGTCATCTCACATAATTCAGAATTGATTGGCTGTTAGTACTCACGTGTGCAGTGCTGCGAAACGTCACGTGTAGTTTGAAGAGGAGACGAGAGAGCAGCATATAGCTAACATCACCAGCGATTAAAAGAAGTAAAAAACTGAAAGAAAATGAATGAAGTTGACCATTTACTGGAGCACACATTTGAGACACTTAGTCTCGGAGAGAAACTGGAGGTAAAGCGCCTCGTTGCCCACCATCCACCGGATTTCCAAATGGTCCAGACTGCGGGCAAAGTTAAACGTTGGTTTAACGCTGAGTGGTTTGCTAAAAAGAAATGGCTAACGGCGAGCATCCAGAAGAATTCCCTCTTTTGCTTTCCTTGCCTGCTTTTTGGTGAAGATCAAGGTACTTGGTCGAGGACAGGTTACAAGGACTTAAAGCATCTTTCGGAGAGGACAATGAAGCATGAGAGCAGCAACAGTCATTTGGAAAATGCCGTAAAATTGGGATTACTTGGAAGGGTGAATGTTGCAGCTCAGATTGACAGCGCCTACAGACGCGGCATTGATTCTCATAATAGGAAGGTGGAAGAAAACAGGTACGTGCTTGGTCGGATCATCACCTGTATTAAACTGTGTGGGAAATGTGAGACAGCACTGCGGGGCCACAACGAGTCGGCGGACTCTCTGAATCCAGGGATATTCAGGTCAATTTTCGAGACAATGTGTGAGGGCGATTCCAGGCTTCAACGGCACTACGAAGCTCAGCTTGTTTTCAAAGGGACATCAAGCACCATACAGAATGAACTCTTGGACTGCATGTATGATGTGTACAGGGAGGAAATAGCCAAGCAAGTGGACAACCACATCATTTGTTGCCGTTCAGGCCGACGAGACAACCGATGTCTCCTGTAAATCGCAAATGGTGATTGTGCTGCGATACATTATGCCTGACCTCACAGTTACAGAGCGTTTTTTGGAGTTTGTGGAAGTAAAGGACAAAACTGGTGTAGGTCTCTCTAACAGCATCAAGGCTGTTCTGGAACCCCTGAAGCTGAAAGAAAAGCTAATCGCTCAGACCTATGACGGAGCGGCCGTCATGAGCGGTAACGTGCGCGGGGTACAGACGGTGATGAAGGAGACGTACCCAAACGCTCAGTTTGTTCACTGCTACGCCCACCAACTGAACCTGACCCTGCAGCAACTGTGTTCAGCAAGGATGAGCATCCTGAAGGGGTTTTTTGCAGATCTAACTGCTTTTTCCACTTTTTTCTCCGGTGCTCCAAAACGTGTTGCAGCTCTTGCAGAGGCAACACAGAGACGCATCCCACGGCCACCGGCTGTGAGATGGAACTTTAAAAGCAGAACTGTGAACGCGGTTTGGGAGACCCGAGATGCACTACTTCAGTGTATGAAGCATATACGCGCACAACCAGGATGGGATGCGGTCACCATAAGTGAGGCATACGGCCTGTCAAAGAAACTGCGGGACCGAGCATTTATGCAGCTCCTGGAGTTGCAAAAACGAAGCATCGATGCACCTGGGATCAACAGCGCGCTCTGCCGTTTCAAGGAAAATGTTCAGAAAATGAGGCAGAAAACTGATGCATTGGCCGCCACTGCTCATGATGGAACAGACGAGCCAGGCCGACGAGTCAGCAGCACAGCGCCGGTGATGAAGGAGGCTTGTGACACAGTCATCTCACAGGTGGAACAGAGGTTCTCACAGAGTGACCATTTGATCGCTGCAAAGCTTGTTGACAGCTCATTCTTCCCACAGCATGTCCTGTCATTTCCTACACCTGAGCTTGACTGCGCCGTTAAACTGTGGCCTGCGTTGGGAAACAAGGAGAAGTTGAAGTCTGAGCTGACCACGCTCTACCGCCACAGTGAGCTTCACACTGGAAACACTGCCCTGTCTCTATGAAATCCATTCACGAGAACAACTTGGAGGAAACGTTTGCTGAGACTGTTATTTTGGTCAAAATAATAGTGACAACTCCGATGACGACATCCGAGTCAGAGAGGAACTTTTCCACCCTCAAAAGGATAAAGACTTTCACTCGCAACACCATGGGACAGCCGCGACTTAACGCATTGGCCATGCTTTCAATTGAAAGCCAGTTGATCCAGCAACTACAGGACTTCATCCCCAAAGTGATAGACACATTCTGTCAGAGGAAGGACCGCCGTGCCGCTTTTCTTTTCAAGTGAGCCTTCAGCTTTGGTAAGTTCATTTATGTCATATATTTTGTTGATCTTCTGTGTTTTGCCTCTGCTGGATCGATTGATATTGTGACCTCGATGATGAGTGTCTGTGTTTTCCTTATATTTACAGTCTATGGTGTTTTTAATGCTAAAGCATTACGGTTGTTGTTATTGTTAAGAATTACTTTGTGATGGTGACCTTTACTCCATGTATGAAGGTGCATTACTATGACATCCCCACGCTGTGTACGTAAATGTATGCGCTCACAGTGTTGCTCCTGTGGTCTTCAGTATGTAATTTGACACTCCCCCTCTCTCTCTCCTCCCCCCCCTCTCTCTGTCCCCCCTCTCTCTCTCCTCCCTCTCTCTGTCCCCCCCCTGTGAAGTGAAGACTCTCCTACAGAGCAAATCATTCAGACAGTCCGTCATCTATGTGTATAACCCCTCAGTATGTCCTCTTCAATGAGGCTGTTTTATTACACCTTAAATAACACAGCTGATCAACAACTGGATCATTTGGGTTTGAAGTAAATGCAGACAAATTATCAAAGTGATTAACCCTTATGTTGTGTTCGGGTCTCCCGTGACCCGTTTCAAGCTAGAATTATATAATAACTACGCTCTAGTTTTTTTTACCGGAACAAAGCTTCATGATATCCTCCACAGCAGATATATAAACACTACAAAACTGATTTTGACAATTTTAGCCAAGTCTGAAGGTCTCTTAAAAAAAAAAGTGTATAATTTGGTGTTGGGGTCTGGGGAGACCCAGCAGAATTGTTTTGGGAGACTCTGGGTCAAATTTGGCCCAATCAAGATTCATCTTTGACTTCAGACACCCCTCCCCCCCCTTCATCAACTGTAACAATAATTGTTCGCAACATGCACCTGGTCTCCCCTCCCTCTGCCCCCCTCCCCCCACGGGAACTCCACCTTTCTCAAAGAATATGTACACTAACACTTGAACCTGAACACACATGCACGTGTGCAATATGTGGTGTAATGTGTTTTGGGGCCATAACATTAAATTACATCAGGATTGTACGGTTATGAATGCATAATAAGTTAGTTATGATGTAGTTAAAACAATATTGGATGATAGTCATTTTTTGTGTGTGTTTTGGACTGAAATAAATCATGGGTCAAAATGGACCCCGACCACCATGAACGGTAACAGCTGTCGAACACAACACAAGGGTTAAAGATGTATTTTGCAGGAAATGATTGTAATGCATTACTATTTTTAGTGTTGAAGCTACTTTGTATTTGTTATAATGCTGCAGTGGAGTTGTATAATGTGAATGTGACTCCTGACAGTTTCTAAGAGAGAATCAAAACAACTCCATCAAACCAAACACGTTGCACAGCTCCAGTATGCCATGCTTTACCCCTCACATGTTTTCTGCTGAGTGTCCTTCATCAGGGTGGGAGCTTCTTTGTTTACAGCAGGTTCATCCGTCACATGACTTCACACAAGGAAACAGATTTCATGAGTTTGGCGTCTATGAATGTAAAGGTTAAAACAGATGTTTGAAGGGATGCAATGCAACAAATAAAAAGAGATTAGATCATTACGATATTCAGATTATTTATTTTTTATTGTAAAGGTTTGTTGAACAATTGTCTTTCATCATTTATAGTCTCTGTAATTTGTCACATGGCTTTTTGACAGATGTACCAAAGAAACAGAAATCAACCTCAGACACATTTCTGAATTAAACAGCTGGTTATTTAATCACAAGATATCTGAAGCAGCTTTACAAATACTACACTTAATTATACACAGCTGTTATTCCCTCTAGGTTGATTAGAAATTGATATTTTCAATTACCATAAATGTTATTGTCCATCTATAGAGGACTGAAAATGTCACGAAAGAACATTGTAAGAATGAAATAATGAATTCAAATAAATGTATTAAATGACTTGCTCCCTGCAGTAAAACAACATATCTCAAAATAATTCATCAAAAGACCCAAAGATATAAAAAAGTTAAACTGATAACGTATACTGCTATAACGTGATGTTTGACTAGAAACTAGATCAATCATTCATCGATCATTAAATGAGTCAAATGAAAACTATAAACACACTGTAATAAAGTTTGATGCAAAATAAACTCAATAAACAATCAAGTTGTTTGTTTGTCTTTGACTGACTCTTTGATTATAATGTGTAAAAATGTCATGCAAAGATTAATATCTCATCATCTGTTGATTATGTTCTTGAATGTTCCAAAGAGATGTAGACGGAGAGTGAAGTCAGAATAAAGTCTGAACCAACACTCCTGAGCATCACAGAGGAATCTCACGTTGACAGATTTTGATATCAGCAGTTTTAGCATCACCAGCTTCTCCAATACTGAAATATGGGAAGAGTTTCTCAGTGAAAGTGTCTCTGAGAGTGCAGATGGGAGTCATGTGTTCAGGGTCGTAGAAGCACACCTCCCCCCTGTCATAGTCCAGCTGGACTCTGATCCTCTGGGGATTCTTCTCCACTCTGACAGTCTCACCAGCACCATTAGAGTATTCTCCACTGCTATGTGTTAAACACCAGATTCCATATTTTGGAGAGGCACCTGGTAACTCTCCCTTCCTGTCAGCTGACTCTTTAGTGTAACCTATAAGCCAGTCAGGATGATCTCCCACCTCCACCTCCCAGCTGTGTTTCCCTGAGCTGAAGCCCTCAGAGCCCAGAACAGTAGCATAGTGAGTGTATCTCTCTGGATTATCAGGAAGCTGCTGATCTTTGTCTCCTTGTCTCACACTGGTCAGATCATCAGACAGAGAGAGCCATCTGCTTGCAGTGTTTGGGTCCAGAAGGACAGGACTGAAGTGGACCTGGTCCTTCATCTTCTCCCAGACTCTGAAGGACAGGTTGCCCAGGTGTTTGGCCACATCTGTCAGCGCTCCTGAGAGCAGCTGTGGGTCTGACAGTGAGCTCTGGACTCTGGCTCTGCTCTGAGTGGCTTTATAACTGCTGAGGAAGGGCACGTTGAGTTTCTGCAGCTCTTCTTCAACAGCAGAGATACTGTGTGACAGAGAGGAGATGTGCTCCTGAATGCTCTTCATCTCTCTGCTGATAGTCTTCCCTTTCTGCTCCTCTTCCTCCCTCAGAGCTGCCAGTCTGGACTCCTCTTCCTCTTTCAGGAACTGATGGAGCTTGATGAACTCTGCTCTGATCTGCCTCTCTGTGGACAGCAGCTGCTTCTCGGACACTTGAATCACTTCATTGTATGTTCTCTCCACTCCTTTGTATTTGTCCCTCTTGTCCTGCAGAGACTCTAAGTCAGATGTCAGCAGGTCCTTCAGCTCACTGACTGCTTGTTCTACAGGAACCACCTTGTGACCCTGGTGGAGAGAAAACTCACAGACAGGACACACAGCTCTCTCTTCATCCATACAGAACAATCTAGGCTCTTCTGGATGTTTACTACACACCACCTCCACCTTCTTCTCTCCTTTCTCTGTCTCAGATGATCCAGCTTTCTGTCTCTCAGCAAAGGAGTCAGACAGTTCCTTCAGTGCAAAGTTCCCCACAGGATCTTTGGAGGACTTTCTTTTATAAATGGGACAGTTTTTGTTCTTACTTTGTTCCCAGAATGTCTGCAGGCAGCTCGAACAGAAGCTGTGGTTACAGCCCAGAGACACAGGATCTCTGAAAGTCTCTGAACAAACATGGCAGCTCAGGAAACTTTCAACAAGAGCGGTTTTCTCAGCCATTTGGTATTAAAGTTATTTCTAGAGCAGGACTCACCAACTTACAGTCTCTCCACTTCTCCCCACATATACTCCAAACGTGTCTCCGAGCAGAAATCTCACACCCTGTGATGGTGTCTCAGCGCTGTTCAACAATGTCTAAATCCACTTTCGTTTTCTCTCACCTCCGTCACAGGGTGAATGATCAACATCAGGAAATGCTGCTATGTCATTTATTCACCAGCAGATGGAGTCAGGATGTCTTTCAGAGGGAAATGTCCTTTGGTATTCAGTTCAGGACGGTGACTTTGTCCAGGTATCTGTTGAAGAAAAACACATACAATTTAACACGTTTAAAAAACAACAACGTAGGATGAAAAGGAAAATGCTCATATATAAAAGTTTGAAGTGGACAGTTTGTGTTCTTACTTTGTTCCCAGAATGTCTGCAGGCAGCTCGAACAGAAGCTGTGGTTGCAGCTCAGAGACACAAACAAAAACTCACTTCGTTATATCTTCATTTCAATGGAAGGAGAATCTGGCAGTGAGAAAAATATAGCACTTATTGAACATTAGAGCATTTAAACATGTCACAGTAAAAGCACAAAATCCAAATATGAACGTGAAATGAGAATAATATGTCCTTTTTAAAAACTACAATAAAGAGTCGAGCTTTTTCAACAATTTAAGCTGAAATAATTCTAAGAACATGATTAGTAAATTAAAATGGGCCTTGTGCTTTCTCCTTCCTTCACGGCCTACAGTTGTGTGGATTTAGAGGACAGTCATCATAATGAAGTCACATGATCTATCCGCTTATCCATCAACTTTCTCACTGAAGGTCAACAAAAACAAGATTCTTACCTGCTGTAAAGTTTCTCTTTAATTCTGTATTAAAAACCGTAAAACTATTTATTAAATACACTTTAAATATACAAGAGTTTATTTACCATCAGTCTTCATATACTACCCAACATGACACATGATGGACAGTGGAGGAAGTACTGCACTTAAGTACACATTTGAAGGATTGAGGTATTTACCTGTTATGTATTGTTTTTTTTTTACTACAGTGCATCTTATATGACTGCTTTCATTCATTTGAGATGCATATGTCATATTTATGATCAGTGTATAAAATATAAATGTGTATTGATGATTTGAATGTAAACACTTTAGATAGTACTTTTATTTTTTATATTTAAGTTCTATTTCTTGCTTAAACGTCGGCATTTTTACTCTGCACACATGACATTTGTTGTAACAGTAATTTTTGATTGTGCTGCTTTGTTAATAGTTCTATCGCTCGAAGTGGAGTCGAAAGAGATGAGTTTTCAGTCTGCGCCGGAAGGTGTGTAAGCTATCTGCTGTCCTGATGTCAATGGGGAGCTCATTCCACCATTTAGGAGCCAGGATAGCAAACCCACGTGTTTTTGCTGTAATAAAATTCAATAACGTGCTTTAACCACTAGGTGTCCCTTTCTATCAGCTGTGCACCGTTATGGTGTAAATACAGCCTATCTACCAATTGGATCAAATATAAAAGTCAGCCGAATTTGTGTTGATACTGCAAGGAGACGTATTGTGTGAAAAGAAATGTAAGATGTTGTTTATATTTATGTTATATTTATGATCCACGTCACGTTTTCAGTTTTGACGGCAGTTCTTGCTGTTTGTCTAGAAGTCTTCTCATCAGGGCTCTATAGAGAACTACGGCAGATATGTAATATTTAATGCAGCCGAACCGTGTATTACAATGCCGTTATGTGATGACTTTCAAAGAGAAAAGCAAGCACACATTTTTTTTAAATGTTTTCGGATTTCACATTGCATAAACACCATATCCCAGCATGCATTGCGACTCAAACATCCAATCACCGAGCTGAGGATCTTGTCTACGTCTGTTTCCGGTATTGTTTATGACGGATGTATTTTGTTATACACACATTCCTTAACATTTAAATTTAAATGTACATTAAAGTCTTTCGTGAGGCCCTCTACAATGTTTTTAGATATAACTAGGGTTCTCGTTGAAGAGTTTGTAAATTAACATGAACCCAAGCTGTTGCCTGGCAACGCAATCGCACAACGTCACGTCCGTTAATTCCACAACCACACACATAGATTAACATCGATTTAATACATTAATGTAGCCTTTGTTTCTGATAAAAGAGGTGTTGACCAGCTGGGGCAACAAGAAAATCCGCAAAATCGAGTCGAACTATTAAAAAATAAATAATTATTATATTACTATTGACAATAACAACCGACCGTCGTGGTAGAGCAGTGGTTCCCAACCTTTTTTGAGTACTGTACCCCCAAAGCATTTCAAGCCAACCTAAAGTACCCCCTACTACGCAATCAATCGTGGTGATCCCCAGGATATATTAATAGTCTATATATTGTGGCAGACCGGCTCTGTGTGTGTGTGTGTGTGTGTGTGTGTGTGTGTGTGTGTGTGTGTGTGTGCAGTGGCAGCACATATCAGACCCGGGCCGGGGGGCGGGGCCTGGATACGGCCCTGTGTGTAGCTAAGGTGAAACCTGGGAGTGGAAGAAGGAGAGAAGTGACGAGGAGAGATAGAGAAGAGGAGGATATTTGTGTCTGTGTGACCCAATGCGACAATTAATATGACACTTAAATCATATTCAATCATAAACATTATAATAGCCATTGTTTAAAGACTTAAAACAAAAAGTAAGGTAACTCACCAATTAATGTGACACTTGAGCCTGTTTCTCCCTCATCAGTTTTGTGAGTCTGGGGGAGATTGTTGCAACAGCTGTGACCAGGTTATTCTCCAAGTTGAGTCTGTTCCTGTGTTTAGTCTTGATGTGGGTCATGGCGGAGAATGTCACCTCACACAGGTATGTGGACCCAAAAGGCAACAGTTCATTCAGGGCATGTTTCCCCAATTCAGGATACTCCTTCTCCACACCACACCAGAACTGTGTCAGTGGTGTGCTTGAGTACCTCATCTTCAGGCTCCTATCTGAGAACACATCTATGAGGTCTTCTTGCAGTCTGGCGGGAATGCTGCTTTAATGCACGTCACAAATGGATTACGCACCCAGTCCAGTGTGGATGACTTGTCAATATCAGGGAAGTAGGAGTTGAACTCATTCTTGAGCTTGGACAAATGTGTGTGTACTATTTTCACAATTGGAGCTCTGTCACATTCACCAGTAGCAATGTATGCTGCAGGAAACAACTTGTATCCTTTTTTTCACATTTGCTCTGCCAGAGCTTGATCTTCTCCATGAATCCACACACTTTGTCATACAAGCTAAGAACATGTGTGTCTTTACCTTGAAGAGAGAGATTCAGCTGGTTGAGTTTGCTGAAAACATCAGAGAGGTATCCCAGCCGAGCTACCCAGTCAGCGTCGTCGAACATAGCCACGTGGGTGTGTGTGCTCCGACAGAAATGCCCTCACTTCATTGCGTAGCTCGAACAGCCGCTGTAACGTCTTCCCTCGGGATAACCATGCGGACGTCAGTGTGAAGCAAGAGCTGTGTATGTTCTGACCCACCGTCTTCACAAAGTGACTGAAACAGTCTATGATTCAAAGGCCTGGACTGTATGAAATTGATCACTTTTACGGCATCATTCAAAACATCGTTTAACTCTGGACTCATTCTCTTGCTAGCTAATGCTTCTCGGTGAACCATGCAGTGCGTCCATGTAACGTCAGGATTTACCTTTTTTATGTGGGCCATTAATCCATTTACTCTGCCGGTCATCGCCGCAGCGCCGTCTGTGCACACATGAGAGCAGGATTTCCAATCCAGCTTGTGTTGAGAGAAAAAATTGTCAATAACGTTAAAAACGTCCTGTCCGGTAGTTCTCCCCGTGAGTTTCTTGCAAAACAGAATGTGCTCGTTTATCTCCAAAGTGTCTTTGTAACGCACAAACGCAATCAGTTGTGCTTCCCCACTGACATCCGTTGATTCGTCCAACTGCAAAGCGAACGTACCAGACGCTTTACATTTTTCCACCACTTGGTCAATGATGTCAATTCCCATGTCGTCGATCCGATGGCACACAGTATTATTTGACAACGACACTTTCTTCAGGACATCAGCTGCTTTCTTATCGAGCATAGTTTCTGCGAGAAATATAGCTGCAGGCAAGATTAGCTCTTCGGCTATGGTAAATGGCTTTTTCGATTTAGCAACGAGTAGCGACACGGCATAAGATGCCTCCAAGGCCTTGGTTGAGACCGATGTCGCTTTCTTTAGTTTTTCTTGGCTTCCCTTAAATTCAGCCAGCTTTTGGAAAAACTCTGCAGGCTTACCCACACAGGCGGGATGTCTAGTACTAAGGTGCCGATGTAAATGGAATGGTTTCATGCTATTATTAGAAAGCACGTCGCCACAGATGAAACACATTGGCTGCGGTGGCTCTGTAGTTGTGACCGTAAACCCGGAGAGCACATAATGTTCACCAAACTGACGATTCTTCACCTTCTCTGTTTTCATTTTCTTGAGAACGGGTTCTCCTGATTCAGCAGTATCACCTGTGCTGTTGTTTCTGGATGAACCAGCTCGACTCAGCCATTGATCCATAATGTTTATGTTAACAGAAATTTTGATCTCAATAAACACCAGCGCATTCACTTGATAGGATGTTGATATTTTGCTAGCTAGCAAGAAAACCAGCGCGCCACTACAATGATGATGATGAAACACCTGACAGTCCGGCGGGAAGCTGAACGCCGCGCCAATAATAATATATAGCCAAAATTATTACTTAATTTGAATGCTCCCAATTTTGGTTACATTATTACAGATTATGCATTATTCATTATTTGTGTACAGTTTTCCTGTAAAATGTTTAATAAAAAAAAAATCTAAAATCAAATTTTTATTTTTTTATTTTTTACTTTTCACGTACCCCCTGGGGACCACCCACGTACCACTAGGGGTACGCGTACCCCCGGTTGGGAAACACTGATAGAGCATAGAAAGGTGTAATCCCGCCCATCTATTTCCGCCCCATGGGACCTTATTTCGGAAAAATTATTTATTGAAGTCAATGGGGAGAGAAAACTTATCTTTCGATCCCGTTTGAATTGTGCAATGAATTACACATATGATGTTTGTCAATCTTTAAAATCATTTCCATGTCAAAAAAGTCAGAGTTTGTCGTAAAGACTATGAAAAATACGCAACTAGAAAGACTACAAATCCCAGAGTCCCGTAAGTGATGTCATAATTGTTTTCCTCCACTAAATATAAGAGATATAAGATCACTTTAACAATATGCCTGTGTGCTTTGTACCAGGCTGTAATCATACCAACAATGGGTCTTACTCGTTCTTTCGCTTCCCGTCTGACGAAAGGACCAGGAGTGGCTGGCTGGATCAAGTTAGCTACCTAGCTAGTAGCAAGCACGTTAGTTAGCATTACAGCCGGCTTAGCCTTGTCATTTTTATCAGCCTTAACATGAAGTAACATTAAGTTAACCAAAGTGTTAAACAGTAGAGTGTTAACTGTGATGGTTATTCTCGCGTCCAGGAAAGAGAAGCTTAAAAAGG